CACGACGCGAGGTGGCGTGGTAGAACTGCCAACCAGGCGCGTCCGGGACAAAGCCAAGGAAGACACAGGGGACAGCTCGACGGGAGAGCTTGTCCGCGGACGTGTCGCGAACAAAAGCTCGAGATCCCCAGACCCGAAAACGCGACGCATCGCCAGCCTCTCCCGTCCAACGCAGTGTCGGAGAAGTCTCCGGTAAGGAGACACGGGGCCAGAGGTTGAGCTGATGCGCAGCGTATCGGACTGCAAACGGCCACAGAAAGTGGGGGGCAGCCGCATGAACCAAGGAGGTACGAGCGACCTCCATGACCAAGCCAATGCGGCGCTCAGCAACCCCATTCTGCTGTGGAGAGGCCGGAAGCGTGAACGACTGCTCAATGCCCTCCTGCTGACAGAAGGCCTCCAAGAGGCCAGAGGAAAACTCCCCACCTCTGTCAGAGTGCAGACGCAGGACAGGGAAGTCGGAGCGGAAACGCTCACTGAGCTGGAGACGAGATCTGCGGATCCAAGGGATCAAGACATCAGGGACGTCACCCTTAGTGCGCAAGGGGAAGACCGTGGTGTAGCGCGAGAAGTCGTCAACAACAATCAGGAAGTACCTCTCCTGACCTTGACCACGGACGCGGGCTGGGCCCCACACGTCCATGTGAAGCGTCTGCAAGGGAGCAGTCGTCGGGGGAAAGGAGGAGGAGTGAGGAGCGGCGCGCTGCCGCCCCTCGACACAGGGAAGACAGGGAGGAGCAGGCGAGGGTGGGAGGGGAGGGAGAACCCTGGGAAGACCAGCAACAAGGTCCCGTTTGTGCATGGCCCGAAGGCGCTGCACAGACGGGTGACCAAGGCGGTGGTGCCAGAGGACAGTCTCATGCGCCAGAGAGCGACACGAGCAGGGGGCGGACAGCTGACCTGACGTAGACGCAGACGCGGACGCAGCTACCTGAGGGGACTCAGTGGTCAGTGTGTACAGGTCTGACCCCGGCTGCCGAGTGAAGGTAGCCAGGTGACGGCCCGTCCGAGCACACGTGCAGTGGGTCACGCGCTCGTAAGCAGGGGTGAACTGGTGAACACCCCCGTCCTGGAGCGCACTACCTGCCACCAAGTTCGTAGAGAACGAGGGGAGGTAGAGGCCTGACAGTGTGCCTGACGGGACCGCAGGACAAGGAAGGACAGTGGAGGAGGTCGCAACGACCGGACCCCCAGAGGGGTCAGCGAGGGAGACCGCAACTGGCCGAGCAAGCGGCTCAAGGACAGTGCGGTCACGAAAGAAACAGCGAGAAGCACCTGAGTCCAGTGTGAAGATGTGCAGTGCTGCAGTCGACTCAGTACCAGAGGGCACGGACTCACTAGCACCTAGAGCAGCAGCCTCACCAGGACCTGGGGCAGCAGACTCACTAGCACCTAGAGCGGCAACCGGACTGGCCTGAATGCCCGGGTCGGGCGGAACACGCAAGTACTGAGCACCCTCTCCACTAGTAAACATCGCATACATGGCAGTGAGGATAGCATCAAAGTCTAAAGCCCAGATATCAACTCCCTTCTTCTCCAGATCAGCCCAGCGGGGCAGCTCAGTGGCATCAGGAAACTGGGTGCGCCACGCGTCAGTAAGGCGCGCGAAACAGCGCTGTGTGGGATGCGGCCTCCCACACTGCTGGCCAGTGCGGTCACCAGTGCGAATGACGTACGTGCAGGTAAAGCCACGCTGCGCATACCACTCACGGGCGGCCTGAAGCGACGGGGCGGGCTGCTGACTCTGGCCACCGCCAGCGCCTCCACGACCACCACTGCCGCCGCCACCGCCTCGGCCACCTCCACCCCTGCCGCTGCCACGACCACCTCCGCCTCCGCTGCCGCCTCCACCCCTGCCGCCACTCCCGCCGCTGCTGTCACCACCCCCACTGCCGCCACTAGCCTCCCCAGCCGCTCCTCCACTCCCACCGCCTCCACCCCCACCTCCTCCGCCGCCACCTCCACCCTTGCCCCCTTTGCCCCTGCGGCGCCCGCTCGAAGCAGACGCGGCCCCGACCTTCTCAGCACCAAGGAGGTCGACAGCAGCAGCAGAGGCGACAGAGGGGAGGAGAGGGGAAGGGGAACACCCCTCAAAGAACGGGGTGCGGGGGTCGCCACGAGAGGTGCCTACAGCGACGATGCTCGCCTCAGCTGCAAGCAGTTCCTTCTCGAGGAGGGCAATGGTGAGTTCAGTGGGGGAGCGAGAGAGGAAGTGGTCCCTGACTGTGCGCAGGGAGTCGGGGAGGCGGGTGACTATGTGGTAGAGAGTGATCCAGAGCGGGGGGGGTTGCTGGTGAGGAACTCGTCAGGCATAGCAGCGCGAAAGCGGGCCTCACTGGTCTTAAGGTGGGTGATGAGGTCAGCAACTGTCTGAAAGGAGGCCAGGTCGGGGAACAGGTAGGGGAGAGTGAGGCGGCCTAGTGTGGCAGAAGCGGGGGAGGAGTAGCGAGCGACTACAGCAGTGTACAGGTCCTTAGCAGTTTTGTGCTGGCCAAAGTGCTCGCGCTCGTCGATCGGTAGGGAGTTACGAATAGCGAAGCGAGCGTGGGCGTCACGAGTCTGCCACTGTGAGCGCTGAGTGCTGTCAGCAGTGGTAGGAGGGGCAGTAGCGTTGCCTAGGGCGTGATCGTACAGTGAAACGTCCTCCTTAGCAGTGAGCTGTAGAAAGAGGTGGAGGTCATCGAGCCAGGTTTCGAACTTCACTGGACGGCCCTCAGTATCGAAAGTAAGTACAGTAGGAGTAGCCATAGCGGCAGTAGCAGTAGCGGTAGAAACAGTAAGAATGAGGCCGCAGGGAAGCTGTGGGCAGTGTCAACGGGGCCGGCGGGGCCACTAAAAGAACGTGCACGGGCGGTAGCGGCAGAGTTGACAGGCCGGCAGCGGCTTAGGCGCACGGGCGGCAGCGGCAGTGACAGCACACGGGCGGCAGCAGCTGATGCGCACGGGCGGGAGCGGCAGTGGGCGCAGTAGCGATTGCTGCAGCGGAAGCGAGTGCAGCAGCGGCAGCGGTAGCAGGCGCAACAGTAGCGCACGGGCGGTAGCGGCCGCGGTGCGCGAGCGGGAGCGGCTGCGGGCGACGCGCAGGCGGTAGCTGCAGCGGCGGGCCCGTGGTAGCGGCAGCTGCAGCGGGCGACGAGCAGGCGGCAGCTGCAGCGGGCGACGAGCGGGCGGCAGCAGCAGCGGGCGACGAGCGGGCGGCAGCAGCAGCGGGCGACGAGCGGGCGGCAGCAGCAGCGGGCGACGAGCGGGCGGCAGCTGCAGCGGGCGACGAGCGGGCAGCAGCTGCAGCGGGCGACGAGCGGGCGGCAGCTGCAGCGGGCGACGAGCGGGCGGGCGCTGCAGCGGGCGGGCGGCAATGTGCAGGCCGGCGGGGCCGCTGCGGGCTGCGCTATCAAGAAATCGGCCGCGCGCGGGCAGCTAGCGGGTCGCGCGCGGTTAAAAAATAAAAACGAGCCGAGCGCGATTGGCTGGCGGGCTGCGCGCGCGCGGTAGGTAGGAGGCGCACTAGGGCGCGTAGGCGCACGAGGGCGCACGGTAGGTAGGTAGGTAGGTAGCGGTGGGCCCTAAGAACTGTTAAATTGTAATGTGTTATATGTTGGTAGGCTGTAGTGGGGTAGCCAATATGGGGTACAACCCCAACTAGGGTTTGCTACTTGTACCCAACTGTTTCATTCAATGCACTCATTCTTGCCTAGTTCTTCTAACATGGTATCAGAGCAGGAGGTCCCTAGGACCTACCGACCGTTTTTTAGGGCCCACCACCGCTCGCATGCGGTTACCACGCTACCCCGTGCCCTAGCCTCGTAGCGCCCTCGTGCGCCCTCGTTAGCGCCCTCGTGCGTCCTCGTTAGCGCCCTCGCGCGCCCTCGTTAGCGCCCTCGCGCGCCTCTCGTTAGCGCCCTCGCGCGCCCTCGCTAGCGCCCTCGTGCGCCTCTCGTTAGCGCCCTCGCGCGCCCCTCGCAGCGTCGCCCGCCCGCCGAGCCGCCCGCTCGCAGCGTCGCCCGCTTGCCGCGCTGCCCGTTTCGCAGCCCGCCCGCCGAGCCGCCTGCTCGCAGCGTCGCCCGCCCGCCCGCTGCCCGCTTGCAGCGTCGCCCGCCCGCCCGCTGCCCGCTTGCAGCGTCGCCCGCCCGCCCGCTGCCCGCTTCGCAGCGTCGCCCGCCCGCCGCGCTGCCCGCTCGCAGCGTCGCCCGCCCGCCTCGCTGCCCGCTTGCAGCGTCGCCCGCCCGCCCGCTGCCCGCTTCGCAGCCCGCCCGCCCGCTCGCTGCCCGCTCGCAGCGTCGCCCGCCCGCCCGCTGCCCGCTTGCAGCGTCGCCCGCCCGCCCGCTGCCCGCTCGCAGCGTCGCCCGCCCGCCTCGCTGCCCGCTTGCAGCGTCGCCCGCCCGCCCGCTGCCCGCTTGCAGCGTCGCCCGCCCGCCCGCTGCCCGCTTCGCAGCCCGCCCGCCGCGCTGCCCGCTCGCCGCGTCGCCCGCCCGCCCCGCTGCCCGCTTCGCAGCCCGCCCGCCGCACTTCCCGCCTGCAGCGCCGCCTGCCCACCGCGCTGCCCGCTTCGTAGCCCGCCCCCCGCACTGCCCGCTCGCCGCGTCGCCCGCCCGCCGCGCTTCCCGCCGAGCTACCTACCTGCAGCGCTGTGGCAGCTTCCTTTGCTCAGTCGCGCTGTCGCTATGGCTTCCATCCGCGTGCTGTCGTTCGATGCTGAGGGCCGCCCTGTGAAGTTCGCCACTTGGCTGGATGACCTGCAGCTGTTCCTTCTGAGCGATAGCAAGGAGCATGTGTCGCTCTATGACTACGCGTCTGGTGCTGCACCTGCCCCCCCTGCCACAGCTGAGCTTAGTGTTCGTTCCCACTGGCAGACTCGTGACGCAGCTGCTCGCCTAGCCATTCGCAGTCACCTACCGCTAGCTGAGCTCGAGCATTTTGGCGACTGCAAATCCGCTAAGGCCCTGTACGATGCTGTCGTTGCTCGCTACTCCTCGCCTGCCACAGCCGAGCTTAGCCGCCTCATGCTGCCGTACCTGTTCCCTGAGCTGTCCACCTTTGCTACAGTCGCCGATCTTATCACCCACCTTCGCACTAGTGATGCCCGCCTGCGTGCCGCCCTTCCCACTGAGTTCTGCGCTAAGAATCCCCCTCCACTGTACTGGACACTCCACTTCATAGTCACCCGTCTCCCTGACACCCTCAGCTCAGTTCGAGACCACTTCCTTGCTCGCTGTCCCACTGAGCTCACAGTCGCCCTCCTAGAGGAGCAGCTGCTAGCGGCCGAAAAGAGCATTGTAGCTGTCGGTGCTGCTCGTGGCGCTCCTCGCACCCCCATCTTTGAGGGGTGTTCTCCCTCTCCCCTCGCTCCCTCCTACGCTACTGCTGCTGCTGTTGACTTCCTTGGTGCTGAGTCTGCTGGCGCTGCTTCTGCTCCTGGTGGGAGGCGCCGCACCGGCAAGGGCAAAGGGGGCAAGGGTGGCGGGGGTGGCGCTGGGGGGGGAGGAGGTGGGGGAGGTGGGGGGGGAGGCGGTGCTGGAGGGAGCGGTGGCGGGAGCGCTGGTGGGAGTGGGGTCGGCGGTGGAGGGAGCGGTGGCGGTGGTGGCGGCGGCGGCGGTGGCGGCGGCGGCGGCGGTGGCGGTGGCGGCGGTGGCGGTCGGAGCGGTGGTAGTGGTGGCGGCGGAGGTCGGAGTGGAGGCACTGGCTCGGGCCAGAGCTCCCACCAGCAGCAGCGTCCCCAGACGACCCAGCAGCTTCGTGAGTGGCTTGCTCAGCATGGGACGTCGGGGGGCAGTGGCCGCTGTTCCTATGTCATTCGCACAGGTGACCGCAAGGGACAGACGTGTGGGAGGTTCCACACCCCGTACCGCTGCTTCTCCCGCCTTGACGACGCTTGGCGTGAGGAGATGGGCGAGGATGTTGAGCGCCCCCGCTGGGCTGAGCTCATGAGGGCTGGTGTTGATATCTTTGCTCTTGACTATGATGCTATTATTGCTGCCATGTATGCATTGACTGTTAGTGCCGAGGGAGACTGTTACTTGTGTGTGCCGCCTGACCCAGGTATAGAGCCAGCTGCCCTGGGTACTAGTGAGTCTGCTCTCTCTGGTATGGTGCCCCCTGTACTTGCTCCCTCCAGTGCTGTCCCCGCTGTTTGCGAGTCTGCTCTCTCAGGTACAGCACCCACAGAGACTGCTCTCTCAGGTACCGCACCGGCTGAGGCCTGTCACACCTTCACCCTTGACTCAGGTGCTTCCCGTTGCTTCTTCCGTGACAGTACTGAGCTCACACCGCTTCCTGCACCGGTCCCAGTCTCCTTGGCTGACCCCTCTGGGGGCCCAGTCCTTGCCCAGTCCACCACTGTCCTCCCTTGTCCGGCGGTTCCGTCTGGCTCGTTGTCGGGTTTCCACCTCCCCTCGTTCTCGACGAACCTGGTGAGCAACGCTGTCCTCCAGGATCAGTGGGTTGACACCTTTACCCCTGGAGGACAGCGTGTGGCGATCTGCACGTGCTCCAGGACCGGCCGTCACCTGGCTACGTTCACCCGTCGACCGGGGTCGAGTCTCTACACACTGACCACTGCGTCTCCTCAGGTCGCTGCTGTTGGTCAGGTGTCCGCGTCAGGTCTGGTGGCCCACGCCTGTGAGTGTCGTTCCCTGTCGCACCAGACTCTTCTCTGGCACCACCGCCTGGGTCACCCCTCCTTGCCACGCCTCCGTGGCATGCACCGTCGCCGCCTTGTGTCTGGTCTTCCCAGGTCCCTCCCTCCCCTCCCTGCCTCGCCTGCGCCGCCTTGCCTTCCTTGCGTCGAGGGGCGGCAGCGCGCCGCTCCTCACTCCTCCTCGTTCCCCCCGACAGAGGCTCCTCTGCAGACCCTCCACCTGGACGTGTGGGGCCCAGCCCGCGTTCGTGGCCAGGGCGGTGAGCGGTACTTTTTGCTGGTTGTTGACGACTACTCGCGTTACACCACGGTCTTCCCCTTGCGCACCAAGGGTGAGGTCCCTGCTGTTCTGATCCCTTGGATCCGCACAGTTCGTCTCCAGCTCCGCCGCCGTTTCCGGACGGATCTTCCTGTCCTGCGTCTGCACTCTGACAGAGGTGGTGAGTTTTCCTCCGATCTCTTGAGGACCTTCTGTCAGGCGGAGGGCATCGAGCAGACCTTCACGCTTCCGGACTCCCCACAGCAGAATGGGGTTGCTGAGCGCCGCATTGGCCTGGTCATGGAGGTCGCTCGTACCTCCTTGGTTCACGCGGCGGCTCCCCATTTTCTGTGGCCGTTTGCTGTCCGGTACGCCGCGCATCAGCTCAACCTCTGGCCCCGTGTCTCCTTGCCGGAGACCTCGCCCACACTGCGTTGGACGGGGGAGGTTGGCGATGCGTCGCGCTTCCGGGTGTGGGGTGCTCGTGCCCTTGTCCGCGATACGTCCGCGGACAAGCTCTCCTCCCGCACACTTCCCTGTGTCTTCCTTGGCTTTGTCCCTGACGCGCCGGGCTGGCAGTTTTACCACCCCACCTCGCGCCGGGTCTTCGCCTCTCAGGACGTCACCTTTGACGAGTCGGTCCCTTTTTACCGTCTCTTCCCCTACCGCACTGCCCCCCTCCCTCCCCCGCCGCTTTTCCTTGCTCCTGGTCCCCCTCCGGTAGACCCCCTTCCCCCTCAGGGTCCTGCTCCTTCAGGTGTTTCTCAGGTAGACCCTCCTCCCGTCGCTGAGCCTGTCGAGGTCACAGGTGACTCAGGTGCTGCTGCAGGTGGTGCTGCTGGGAGTGCTGAGCCTGGGGGTGCTGAGCCTGCGGGTGCTGGGCCTGGGAGTGCTGGGACTGCGGGTGCTGGAGCTGAGGGTACTGTGCCTGAGAGTTCGGCGCCTGGGGGTGCTGAGCCTGGGGGTGCTGCGACTGGGGGTGCTGAGCCTGCGTGTGCGGAGTCTGGGGGTGCTGAGTCTGGGGGTGCTGCGCCTGCGGGTACTGAGCCTGGGGGTGCTGCTACTGAGCCTACGGAGCCTGGGGTTGCTGCGTCTGGGGGTGCTCCGGTTCGGGGTGCTGAGCAGTCTCTCACACCGCAGCAGCTTCGTGACTGGTACGTCCGGCGCTTTCGCCGTCCTAGTGGCTCGGCTGGAGTTGGGGGTGCTGGAGCTGCTCGTCCTGGGGGTGCTCGTACTGGGGGTACTGGAGCTGCCGGGACTGGTTGTTCTGGGAGCACTACGACTGGAGCTGCTGGAGCTGGGGACTCTGGAGCTGGCGGTACTAGCGGAGTTGGAGCTGCCGACTCTGGGGGTGCTCTTCCTAGCGGTGCTGCGGACCCTGGGGGTGGCGCTGCTGCTGGTGCTGCGGACCCACCTGGTGGAGCTGCTGCTGGAGCTGAGGACCCGAGCGGTGGCGCTGCTGCTGGTGCTGGGGACCCGGACGTTGGAGCTCCTGCTGGTACTGAGGACCCGGCCGCTGGAGTCTCTTCTGCTTCTGGAGACGCTGCGCGGCCGCGGCCGTACTTCGTACCGCTCCTTCAGCAGGTTCTTGGGCAGGCTCCTCCTCCTTGTCCTCCTCCCTCCGTAGGGTGTCCCCCGCCTGTCCAGCCGCAGTCACAGTTACCGCCTACCTCGCCTCTCCCTGCTCCCTCTCCTTACACTGGTCCCACAGGAGGTCTTACCGAGCGTCGTGAGCCTGAGTCCCGTCCTGCGTCGCCTGTTCGTACTGCTCGTACTGGTCGTCGTGTCCGTCGTGAGCGTCCTCCTCCTGTCCCAGGCACTCACTACATGACTCTGCGTCCATCTACTGCTCCTCAGCGTGTCCCTCTACCGTCTCCTCCTGCGTCCTCTTTGCCTGCCGTTCCGGACCCTGAGTCTGACCGGTATCGTGCTGAGCACCCTACTGTCACGCGTCTCCTAGCTACTGTTGTCACTGACCCTACCTTTGAGTCCTCGGCTGCGTCTGCTCTGGTCGCTGAGTTGGTTGACTTTGCTGCTGCCTGTTGTCTAGACTACGCTGCTCGCCTTGTTGCTGAGTCTGAGTCTGCGTCTGTCTGTCCTCCGTCCGTCGGGGGTGAGTGTGCTCTTGGCACGGACGTCCTTGAGGACAGGCAGGAGGACTTTGACTCTCTCGCGGCTGCTGTACCTCATCTCGTGGCCTCGTTGCTTGCCCCTGAGGGAGACCCAGATGCACTAGACATCCCTACTCCGCGCACTTACGCAGAGGCGATCTCGGGTCCCTACTCCTCTCAGTGGCAGACAGCCATGGACGCAGAGATGGCATCCTGGAAGTCCACAGGCACCTACGTCGACGAGGTTCCCCCTCCTGGGGCGAACATCGTCGATGGCATGTGGATTTTCAGGGTGAAGCGGCCGCCAGGTTCTCCGCCTGTCTTCAAGGCTCGTTACGTTGCTAGAGGCTTCAGTCAGCGTCAGGGGGTCGACTTCTTCCAGACCTTCTCCCCCACCCCGAAGATGACCACTCTTCGGGTTCTGTTGCACGTTGCTGCTCAGCGTGACTACGAGCTTCACTCTCTTGACTTCAGCACAGCGTTCCTGCAGGGCAGCCTGCACGAGGAGATCTGGCTGCGCCGTCCACCTGGCTTTACTGGGTCGTTTCCTCCTGGTACCCAGTAGAGCCTCCGCCGGCCAGTCTACGGTCTCCGCCAGGCGCCACGTGAGTGGCACGACACACTGAGGACTACACTTGCGGCTCTTGGGTTCGCGCCGTCTACTGCCGACCCGTCGCTGTTTCTGCGCACAGACACGTCGCTGCCGCCGTTCTACATTCTCGTGTACGTCGACGACTTGGTCTTTGCTACTGCTGACACTAAGGCACTCGCTCGTGTGAAGTCGGAGCTGCAGAAGAGACACACCTGCACTGACCTGGGTGAACTGCGTAGCTACCTTGGCTTGCAGATCACCCGGGACAGAGCTCGCCGCACCATCACCCTGAGTCAGTCACACATGGTGCAGCAGGTCCTTCAGCGCTTCGGCTTCCAGTTCTCCTCACCACAGGCCACACCTCTGGCTACCAGCCACTCGCTCTCAGCTCCACCTCCGGACGAGTCCGTAGAGCCGAGTGGCCCGTACCCAGAGCTTGTAGGCTGCCTCATGTACCTGATGACTTGCACGCGACCTGACCTCGCGTACCCACTTAGCATCCTTGCTCGCTACGTTGCGCCTGGGAGACACAGGCGAGAGCACTGGGAGGCTGCTAAGAGGGTGCTGCGTTACTTGTGCAGTACATCAGGCATGGGGTTGGTGCTTGGAGGACACGACAGAGTTGTCCTCACTGGTCACTCGGACGCTTCTTGGGTGGACGACCTGGCTACGCAGCGGTTGTCACAGGGTTACACCTTCAGCCTTGGCTCTGGTTCTGTCTCGTGGCGGTCCACCCGCTCTTCTTCTGTTCTTGGCTCTAGTTGTGAGGCTGAGATCTACGCCACAGCCATGGCTGCACAGGAGTTACGCTGGCTCACCTATCTGCTGACTGACTTGGGAGAGCGGCCTAGTTCTCCTCCAGTTCTGTACGGTGACAACAAGGCGGCTCTTGCCTTGTGTCAGGAGCACAGACTGGAGCACAGGACGAAGCACATTGCTCTTCGCTACTTTCTTGCTCGAGAGCTTCAGCAGCGCGGTCAGCTTCGGCTTGTGTACGTGGACTCGAAGGCCAACACTGCTGATATCTTCACCAAGGCACTCCCGCCTAGTGATCATCAGCGACACTGTACTTCTTTAGGCCTTGTGTCCACATTCCCTCATTTGCTTACTGCTTGACTTTCTTTGTACTGTACTTTATATATATCTTGTTGCTTGCTTGCTAGATTTTGATCACTGTGTTGTTTGTCTTGTACTATATCTAGCACTGCATGTGAACTGGCCTTGTGGCCTTTGCTTGTGCTCGGAGTGTGGTGACGTTGTGATCCACCCTGGGCTTGCGTTGCCTTGCTGGACTGGTCTTGTGACCCTTTGTTCTCCCCCACTTTGCCTATGGGGGTGTGTTAAATTGTAATGTGTTATATGTTGGTAGGCTGTAGTGGGGTAGCCAATATGGGGTACAACCCCAACTAGGGTTTGCTACTTGTACCCAACTGTTTCATTCAATGCACTCATTCTTGCCTAGTTCTTTTAACAAGAACGGTCCTAGCGAAGGACCTGCTCTGAAACCATGTCGAAATCAACAGACAGGAATGACTGTACTAGCACAAAGTTGGATACAAGTAGGAAACCCTAATCTAGTGTACCCCCTAAGGTGTAACCCACTACAGCCTACAATCATATAAACATATAATGTTTGACACTTCATACCTGCTGACGCTTACGGGCTGCAACGGAAAACGCGATGGCTAAACCGCACTTACGAGGAGTGGGACGCAGGCGACGAGGGAAATCGGGGCAGGTACACCTCGAAAGAACTCGTGCGACGCTGCGTGCCTGGTGTTGTTGCAAGCTGGCCGGCAGTATCGAGAACAGTTTCCCCTGACCAAGGACGTTGTTTTCGGGGACAGCTGCTGACAACCCACGGTTAAACGGTGTCCAAGGTACCGCCCGATAATTTCGGAGGGGTCGGTACAGGCTGCCGGGACACGCGAGAAGAAACGGCCCAACGGCTAAGCGGGGGTTGAAGAACGTTGCGGGGGCAGATTAAAAGCCGGTGGAATCGATCTGCGGCCCTACTTCGCCCGAACCTCACCATCCCCACCGATTACTGGTTCCGACTCATGCAGTCGACCTTATTCGGATGAATAACGGGGGTGAACACGTGGCCTACCCTGCGCTGGTTAAAGGTACCGGGATTGGTGCCCGTTCAACAGCTGTACAAGAAAAGGACAAAAAAAAAGTGGAGCTCGCGGCACTGTTTTACTCCGACAAAAGCGGGCTGGGTGAACGGCACGCAAAAAAGTCGGGGAGCTGCGAAGAAGAAATGGTGCAGTCTACAGGTTTCTCCTGACCCGGGCGTCTACACGAATCGACGGCGCAGCGGCGAAGCTGAGACCGGGAAGCTGTGGATTTTACGTGACGTGATAGGCACGGCGGGCTGCAAAACGGTTGGGCGACAGTTTCCTTTTAACTAAGGCTGCCCCGACTCCGATAGTTTTTGCCTCTCCACCGTGGCCGAGTTCGCGCGAGCAACAACGACGATACCCCATCCGACAAAAGCGGACGCTGGGTGAACGGCGGGAAGCGGAATTGTCGGGGGGTGAATACGAAAAAAAATGACGACAGAGGGAAAGTTGTGGGTGATCCAGCAGATCACTTGAGTGATAGGTTGAGCCCGTGCACCAATCTACCGCGAATTTCGGAGTCTATTCGGTAGACCCCCGAAAGGGTTTGATATCGTTACATGGAGGCGCGGCGAGCGGTACATTGCCAAGGATACCTGGGATTCGCTAAGTAGTTCCGGCGGGTACGAAGATGGGTGAACATCGGAGTACCAGGGAAAAAAAAACGGTGGAAACATCGGGGCTATACGGCGGAGAATAACTTCGGGACTGCAGCCTCAACCACGATTTTCGGGGTTATCTTCTTACGAAAAAAAAAAAAAAAAAAAAAAAAAAAAGAAAGAGGAGTTGAAGCTGAGGGTGTTTTCTTCGTTTCTTGGAGTGCGGTTGATACCTAGGACCCACGGGTGTTTAAACGTACACCGCGGGAAATTCTTCAGGGAGCGTGGGAGCAGCCGAGGCTTCGGGATTTACCTGCCGGTGAAGCGAGATGAGGTGAAACATCGCAAAGCGCCAGTGGGAGTTTGCGTGGTTTTCAGTTAAGCGACATCGACGGGAGCAGTTTCGACGACGGGGTCAACGGCGTTGATGCCTCTAGGTTCCGTGAAATTCGGTCTCGGAAGACCCAGGGCAGTCCCCGGTTCTCGATTTAACCCACATGCTGGGGTCGGGTAACCGAAGGAAACTGATGGTGACCGGGTGGGCGGCTATAGCACGTCTGAGATTTTCGGAGGAGAACTGCACCTAGACCTGTGAATTTTCCGGGGTTGATTTCGACCGACATTTTCGGAGTTTTACGCGGGACTTTACAGGCCTTACGGCGGAAGCGGCGACAATTTCGCAGAAGTTTTCGGGGTTTTGTTAAACACGCGCGCCATTTACGTGGGGCAACACAGCGAGTGTCAAACATTGTATGTTTATATTGTGTAGGCTGTAGTGGGTTACACCTTAGGGGGTACACAAAGTTAGGGTTTCCTACTTGTACCAAACTCTGTGCTAGTTCATTTCATTCCTGCTCAGTTATTTCTGACATGGTTTCAGAGCAGGTCCTTCGCTAGGACTGTTCTTAGGGCCCACCGACTTACCTACCTGCTTACCTTCGCTTGTTTCCGGCCCCGCTGGCCCCGTCGATCTAGCACGATCTAGCGGCCCTGCGGCCCCGTCGAACTTTTTTTTTCCTAGCGGCCTCTCACGGCCCCCGTCGCGTCGCCCCTTAGCGCCCCGATCGGCCCCGTCACGCCGCCCGCGAACCGCACAGCGCGCCGCGCTCACAGCCCGCGAACCGCCCACGCACAGCCCGCGAACCGCCTGCGCAGCCCGCGACCAGCCCGCGCAGCCCGCGCACAGCCCGCGAACTGCCCGCGAGCAGCCCGCGACCTGCCCGCGAACCCCCGCGAGCCGCCCGCGACCCGCTTACGCAGCCCGCGAGCAGCCCGCGCAGCCCGCGCTGAGCCTGCGCGGCTCGTGCGCTGACCGCCGCCGGCCCGCACGCTGCCCGCACAGCTCACATACGGCCCGCACGGCCCGCGCGCTGCCTGCTCCCGGCCCGCCGCTGCTGAGCCCGCAGCCGCCCGCGCACCGCCGCTGCTGAGCCCGCAGCCGCCCGCGCACCGCCGCTGCTGCGCCCGCCGCCGCCCGCGTATCACCGCTGCTGAGCCCGCCCCTGCTGCGCCGGCTCTCGCTGCCGCCTGCTGCGCCTGTGCACCACTGCAGATCCTACTACTACACTTCCTGCTACTGCTGCTTGTGCGCCACTACAGTCCGTAGGCCCCACCGGCCCCGCTGACCCTGCGCACGCCTTTTCAGTGACTTTACTGCTTCTACTACTGCCGCTGTCGCTATGGCTAGTCCTCCTGTTCTAGCTTTCGACGCCGAGGGCCGTCCGGTCAAATTCGAAACCTGGCTAGATGACCTGCACCTTTTCCTACAGCTCACTGCCAAGGAAGATATTACACTGTACGACCACGCTCTCGGCCATGCGACCGCCCCACTCACTACTGCCCCCCCAGCTGAGCGCTCACAGTGGCAGACCCGTGACGCACACGCTCGCTTTGCTATTCGCAACTCCCTGCCGCTAGATGAGCGCGAGCACTTCGGCCAGTGCAAGACTGCTAAGGACCTCTACACAGCTGTAGTGGCCCGCTACTCCTCACCCGCTTCTGCCACGCTAGGCCGCCTCACTCTCCCCTACCTGTTCCCCGACCTAGCCTCCTTTCACACTGTCGCAGACCTCATCACCCACCTTAAGACTAGTGAGGCTCGCTTTCGCGCTGCCATGCCTGACGAGTTCCTCGCTAGCAACCCCCCCCCGCTCTGGATCACTCTCTACCACGTTGTCACCCGCCTCCCTGACTCTCTGCGCCCTGTCAGGGACCAGTTCCTCTCTCGCTCCCCCACTGAGCTCACCGTAGACCTCCTCGAGAAGGAACTGCTTGCAGCCGAGGCTAGTATCGTCGCTGTAGGCACCTCTCGTGGCGACCCCCGCGGCCCCTTCTTCGAGGGGTGCTCCCCTTCCCCCCTCCTCCCCTCTGTCGCCTCTGCTGCTGCTGTCGACCTCCTTGGTGCTGAGAAGGTCGGGGCTGCGTCTGCTTCAGGCGGACGACGCAGGGGCAGGAGTGGCAGGAGTGGGGGTGGTGGCGGAGGAGGCGGGGGTGGAGGTGGTGGCGGTGGAGGTGCGACTGGAGAGGCTAGTGGCGGCAGTGGTGGAGGTGACAGCGGCGTTGGGAGTGGTGACAGGGGCGGAGGTGGCAGCGGAGGCGGAGGTGGTCGTGGCAGCGGCAGGGGTGGAGGTGGCCGGGGCGGAGGCGGAGGGGGTGGTGGTCGTGGAGGCCCGGGGGGCGGTCAGAGTCAGCAGCCTGCCCCGACCCTTCAGGCCGCCCGTGAGTGGTATGCGCGGCGCAGCGTCACCTGCCAGTACGTTATTCGTACAGGTGACCGCACTGGCCAGACGTGTGGGGGGCCGCACCAGACGGAGCGCTGCTTCGCCCGCCTCAACGACGCGTGGCGCACCCAGTTTCCTGGTGGGGGTGAGCTGCCGCGCTGGGCTGAGCTGCTCAGGAAGGGTGTTGATATTTGGGCACTAGACTTTGATGCTATTCTCACTGCCATGTATGCGATGTCTATTAGTGGAGAGGGTGCTCAGTACTTGCGTGTTCCGCCCGACCCGGGCATTCAGGCCAGCCCCGCTGCTGCTCTAGGTGCTAGTGTGTCTGCTTCCACAGGTACTACTGCAGCTGCTGCTCTAGGTGCTTGTGCGTCTGTGCCCCCTGGTACTGAGTCGACTGCAGCACTGCACACCTTCACACTGGACTCAGGTGCTTCTCGCTCTTTCTTTCGTGACCGCACTGTCCTTGAGCCTCTAGCTCGGCCGGTTGCTGTCTCTCTTGCTGACCCCTCTGGGGGTCCGGTCCTTGCGACCTCCTCCACCACCCTTCCGTGTCCAGCGGTTCCGTCCGGCACGCTCTCAGGTCTCTACCTCCCCTCGTTCTCCACGAACTTGGTGGCAGGTAGTGCGCTCCAGGACGGGGGTGTTCACCAGTTCACCCCTGCCTACGA